AGAGGAAAATATGTGTATCCTCCACAGTCTCCGACTCATCTCTCCCCACCCACCTTGGCTGTTCTTATAAAAAATTATCACAGATACACCACCCACCAACCCAGAATCCAGTATTTTTCAGCAACAGGAGACTGGATGGGATAGATAAAAATAAAGTATTTGTACTTCCAAGGAACAGAGTAAATGGAGAAAGAGACTTTTAAGTTGCCATTCACTAAGATGGAGGGTTAGAACCACATGAGGCAGAAGCATTCAAGCCCTCACCTCTACAGCAGTTTTTCTCATCTTCCAGATGTCTTATCAAATTGGTTAAAGGACTCAGATCCGTTTTCTCATTTGGTCTTCCTTCCATGCGGCATAGGTCATTTTCTGTGAGAGTACTGGTTTTCTTTACAATTACCATTTTAAGATATAGGCTCCAAAAACTGCCGTTATTTATTGTGAGAAATTACTCCCAAATATTTACTTATGGGCATGGGGGGCGGGGAAATGTCATTTATATAATGTAATTTTTAGCTTATGTTTGTAGTTTGTAATTTTTAGCTTAGGTGTGTAGTTTGTAAGTTGTATTTCTTTGTATTTGTTATTAGTGGGAACTATAAACTTCTACAGTCTGTATAAAATTCAGAAAGCTGAGCATGGTACAGTGCCCACGAGATTCATGGAAAGGAACCAACCATCCACCAGTTAACTGGTTACCGGGACAACACCCCTTACCACTCCCCATGACTGACTGGATTTGCAGCCTCTATGAATGTACTCTCTCTGGGAGCCTCAACAACATCCCATGTGAAATAACCTCCTCCTTAGAGGCTCTCCACGGCCAGTGCTTCCCAAAGCACTAGTTACATCCCATGTGAGCAGGCAGAGTACCGGCTCCTGTGAATCTCAGCTTGCAACTTCAAGGCCAGGTGCAAAGATTAGCTTATGCCTGGAAAGCACGATAAATATTAGTTTGAAAGTGATACGCATTGAAGTTGACATTTGCTCTGGAAGGGTTCGCTCGCAGCTCTGATGTTTCAGATAAACTTGTGAAAGCCTGAGTAGAGGCACACTTGCCAAGCAGGCCCAGCAGGTGCTCAGAAAAATCCTATTAAACACATGCAATATAATAAAAATGTTTGGTTTTTCTTATCACAAGAAATTTATTTTAGACTTGGAGAGGGGGGTAAGGCAGGAGGGTGGCCTTTCATCCAACCTCTAAGTTATTTCAGATTCAAAGTTAGAATCAGGTGTAAGAATACAGGTTATTCTATGGAAGTGTGGGGAAAGCTATCAATTACTAAGGATAAAGGAAGAAAAAAACAAGACCTCATAAATACCATGAAAATAACACCTGATAGGTGAGAAGAAACTTTAAACCTAAAATTATAAGTAGGTCTTTGAATTGCTAGCTCTTGAAGCAAGAAAACTCTAGGAAACATGATCTATTAATAAATGCAGCCTAGCCCTGGCCAGTGTGGTTCAGATGGTTGAGCAGCATCCTGTACACCAAAAGGTCTCCAGTTTGATTCCTGGTCAGGGCACATGCCCAGATTGCAAGTTCAATCCCAGGTTGGTCGGGGCGCATACAGTAGGCAACAGATAGATGTTTTTTCTCTCACATTGATCTTTCTGTCTCTCCCTCCCCACTACCTTCCTAAGGAAAAAAATAAAATCAATAAAAACATATTTTAAAATAACTAAGCACAGCCTATTATCCAAAGCCTCCTGTTACTTACTATATGTTACTCTTTGTATATTACGATAAATGAAGATGAAATTAGTATCCATATCAGTGGAACACAGAGTTGGTGTTCCATGTTCCATGACCAAGTCTGTCGACCTGTTGGTACACTCTCATTTCTTATGAGTGTTGACAATTGGGCAAATTTGGAAAGTTTTCTTCAGCCAACTGGAACTAACCTATCTTCAATTCAACAGTGAAATTTGGGCCTCATCAGCACCACGTTTCCATTACCTAAATAGAGTGGCACACTTATGAAACTGCCATTGTTCCTTATCCTTCCCCATTCTTCCGGGAGAAGAAATGACTATTTCAAGCTAAGTATAAAATAACTAGCTGAGCACATCTAAAAACACCTGGACAACCATCACACCGGCAATCAGTTGCAGACCTCGGACTCCCATTTCCCAGACCACACCTCTTCAGGTATGCCTGTGGGAGCACAATATATTCTTACTTCTACCTATTATTTTAAGTTCATATAAGTTTCCTTATCCATCCTCTGATCAGCTCTGGCTACAGTTACTATTCGCATAAGTACTCAAAGCTCTCAAAGTACTGTGCCTAATGCTTACATACATTATGTCAAATTCTCACAAGCAGTAATGGATACCTAAGTATCACAAGTGGGCTACATTATCCTGACAGACTGAACAGGGGAACACATCAAAAGTGGCCTGGCCGAGACCGGTTTGGCTCAATGGATAGAGCGTCGGCTTGGGGACTGAAGGGTCCCGGGTTCGATTCCGGTCAAGGGCATGTACCTTGGTTGCGGGCATATCTCCAGTAGGGGGTGTGCAAGAGGCAGCTGATCGATGACTCTCATCATGTTTCTAACTCTCTCTCTCAATCCCTTCCTCTCTGTATAAAATCAATAAAATATATTTTTTTAAAAAGTGGCCTGGCCAGGGCCACACAGCAAAGTAAGAGGCAGAGCTAGGACCAAACCCAGGTCTGCCTGGTTCTGAAGCCCATGCTCTTTCCACAAAACCACACAGAACTGCCGAAGAATCTTAAAATATTAGGTGTGGAAGGAGCCCTATGTAACAGCTGCCTCTCATTAAAAATCCGCGATGTGCCATGTGCTCTCAATACCTTACCTCATCTTCTTAGCATAATCGAGCAGTGCTAGTTCAGGACAATGAAATATGAACAAATATGAGACTTGTCCAAGGCTGTAGGTGGGTAAACACCTAATATGAGATTTAAACTGGGGTATATTTAATTCCAAGTTCGTGTTCTTTTGACCAAGACCTCGAAAAAAAAATCACAGGGGCCCGTTAGTACTCAACAATTCAGCAGCATGCCATTTTTAGAGGAAACTGCAACGGGCTGAGTACGGCCACAAGAAATTTACAGTGCCACTAAACTCACAGGATTTCAAAACTGGAAAAGATGAGAGAGCTTAGTGCGGTCCTCAAGCCCCATCGTTTTGCAGATGGAAAAGCTGAAGGTCAGAGAGATTGCAAATCATCCTTGAAAAAAAAGGATTGGAAGCAACAGGGAGAACACTGACAGAGCATTCCAGGTGAAGGGTATATACTGAAGAAAAAGAAAGCACAGAGGTCAAATACGCATGGTGTGTGCTTAAAGCAGAACAATAGATAACACGTACGCTGTAAGAAAGAAAAAATAAATAAGGCACCTCCATTAAGTTGAATGCCCAAAGGAATTAGCTTCTTTTGAGTAAAAAAAAAAAAAAAGTTTAAAAGTAAAAGGCTTTTTTAGTCAATCTTCCCATTTTGATCTAATGCCTATCCCTACTTATTTAACTTTATTTAATATTTGACATGAAACTCTGCTGTGGCCAAATTCTCTTTTGATTTTGTTTGTTGCCATAACCATGTCTATACTAGAGTATGTGAACATGGATTTATACAATGTCTTCTCACCCAAAACTTACTTTGCTTTTCCTTGCTTTTATGTCTTTTCCACCCTTTGGTTTAGAACACTCAATGCCTAAAGGAAAGATTAAACAAATCTCTGCATAAAACTGAGTTTACAGTAATTGTTATTTTACTCTAAAGGGTACCAACTAAACCACAAAAGCTCAAAGAATGCAGCCTCCCACATCTTATTTTAAAAATGTGGTTATGCCATTAATTAATATGCTATAAAGAAATGCTGGTCACAGACCAAAGATTGAGTTCCAAAGTCTGAGTTTCTGTAAAGACTTTAATAAATTCTTCTCAAGGTAACAGTTTCAGAGTAAAAAGTTTTTAAACACTTTCAAGTACTCAATAAGTTTTATTTCCTCATAACAAACACTAAAAGTAATTAACACATATAGTTCACTTATGCTGGGTGTGTAATAACAGAGGAAGGAAAGTAAAAACTACTATAAAACTCTCTGACGTCAAAGTGCTTCATTTACTAGAGTCAGGCAGACTTCCAAAAACGTGAGGCTCCAAGTTCAGGTGCAGGGGAGAAGTTAGTGCTGGGATACTGATACCCTGGAGAAAAAAATCAAGTTTTCAGCTTATGTACCAAGCACATGGCTGCGGGAAACTGACATCTACAATGTCTGGGAGGAAACTGACCGCGTTCCTCCCAGTGGTCTGACAAACTGCAATCCTATCCCAAGCTCTCTCAGGCTGGCAGGCACCGGTCCTCAACCAACTAGGTCTCGTCCAGAGAACTAAGGCGTGACAGGCCACAGAGGAGGTGCCCTGGAAAGACGAGCTGTCAAGTGAAATCGAAGGAGGGAGAAGCCAGAAGTCACCGGAGGCCAAAAAAAGTCTTTGATGGATGAATGTGTGGGTGTGTACGTGTTGGGGAAATGGGTGGTCTGAGATAAGGAGTGCTAAACGACAGAACAAATAATGGGTTCCTTAAAATGCCACTCCGTCCCAGGAGAGGGAATGTGGACAGTGCAAAAGCAAGGTATGGGGTCCTGAACCCAGGAGAAATAAGGCAAGCCTCATTGCACAGATGGGTATAGTGAGGCAGGGGTTTCGAATTAAGTCCCGCAAGGAGTGAGCAATGCAGCCAAAATTCTACTTACTGTAAGCCTCGGGGGATCTAAATCAACCTGGCTCTCCCCACCCACCCATCCAGCAAGTGCTCAGCACTGGGCACACAGCCAGATCACAGCTCTGCATGAAGGTCCCAAGTCTTGTAAACTTCCAGCTTCTTTGCAGAAAACTCAGCTTCGGATCGGACAACCCTGGGGGGCCAGGGCGCGGGAAACTAGGCTGAGCGGGTCGCGCGGGAAGGTCGGAGGTGTGGGGTCCAAGTCCCAGCACTGGCCCTCCGCCCGCCCACTGTCACTCACCCGGATGCCCTTCACCACGGTGATGTTCTCATTCTCGTCCGCCTCGAAGGTGACCCGGCGCGTGCTGGAAGCCCCGCCCATGGCGTCTCCGGTCCCTGCAGAGTCCCAGCGCGGACCCCCGAGCACCTGCGGCCCCACGCGCACACACGCGCGTGTACGTACCCGGGCGATTGCCTTGCACGCCGGGAGCAAGGCCACGACCCCCAGGAGCAAGGAGAAGGCGCCGGTCCTCAGCTCCCGCCTCTTCCGGTCACGTTCCACAGCGAAAGGCTTCCGGTTGGTGGGAGATACAAAAGGCCCGCCTCTACTCGGAAGGGACACCCGGATTGGTTGTTCCAGACCCGGATACTATGGCAACAGGTGGTGTTTTTATACAAGGTTTCCGGAGCCCCTGGGTACAGTGGGAATTGTAGTCTCCATTTGGCGCCAGGGGTTGCTGGGACAACTCGCCCTAATCTGGAGAGTGTGGCATTCTGGGAGTTGTGGTCTTCGCTGCCCCAAAGGCTTCTAACGGGGCAACAACCTCCCTGGAAGTAGTTCATTTTTCTTCTAGTAACTACCGTCAACATAAGAAATATCCAAACCTGGAGGAATTTTTATGACTTTATTTGAGCCAAACTGACGACAGTCGGTGGGAAGCAAAATCTCAACAGATTGAGGAAATGCACATGAGAATGACATTTTTGCAGTTTATACATTATAATCAAAGAAGGAGGTGTAAGGAGGGTACATGAAATTCATTAGTGGCAGTTTAGGGAGGTGGGAGAAAGCAAAGAGAGGAAATCTCTGGGTCTAGATAATGAGTCAGATGAAGAAATAAATACTTATTTTCATTAGTGCATACAGGATAGCTAACAGCATTTACAGCACATAGAGATGGTATCAGGGAGCAAGGTAACAGTGAGGGGTTCTGTGATCTCCTGCTCTGAAGGGAGATTGTGCCCTTAGATGTCTGGAAAAGAGGGGGATTACACTAACATCCCAAAGGTATGTTATCCTAGATGCAAAAAGACATTAGACAGGCTCAGTTAAGGTAAAGATTTACCTTTGTCAAGGGACATACTGGCCTACGACATGACTATCCATCATAACTAGATTTTAGTCAAGAAAATTTACTTTCAGACCATCTTATGTGGTTATTTGAAGTCCCTGAGTTTGTGAAGTCCACCATGCAGGTCTCCCCTGAGCCATATCAGGTTTACTAAGTGGCCCACATTGCTATCTTCAGTACCTTTCAACATTAAAAAACAGTCAGTCACAACACAACACAATCCTCTAATTCCAAAGATAACACAAAAAAAGCAGTAACATTTTCTATCTCCAATTATGCGCTGACTTATTACTCCTGAAGTCTGTAGGACAGAGGCTGTTTTTTTTCATCTCTGTATTCTTAATCAGTAGCAGGATGTTGGATTCATTATTGCACATCATCATTTGTTATTTTCAACATACACGTATACAAATTATATTATGCTCCTTTGAAGTTTTGAGACTACCTGCTACTTTGTATGGGTTCTCAAGTTGTACAATATGTTTTAACCTTTGTTCTACTCTACAGGGAAGTAAAAATCCCAGAAATGGTGTCTTTTGTTTCTTTTGGGACCTGCCTTCTACAAACAAAACCCTTTACACTTACTACCCCAATAGTACAGCACTTCTTGGAGGTTCTACATAAAATAGGTGCCCGGAAATTCTTACCAAAAGAATAAATTACAAAGAAAAGAGTTCCTTAGGGAATACAGACACAAAGGAACCACTTATATATTTTAAATATATTTTCCTTATAATATTAAATGTGTTCATTCAACCAAATACATATTCATGAAGGCTAATCATGAATTATAGTATGATGCCTTCACTTTTTATGACACAGAAACATGTAAAGGGTCTTATCAAGTAATCTAAAAGTACTTTATAGATGCAATACAGTATTTTTAACTATAGTGATCTTAAAAGTCCTCATCACAAGACAAAAATTGAAACTATGTAGGGGGACGGATGTTAGCTAGATTTATTTTTGTGATCATTTCACAATATATACAAGTATGTATTCATAATGTTGTGTACTTGAAACTAATATGTTATATGTCAATCAATTAAAAATAAAATAAATAAAAATACCTTAGGCCTTGGTATGGCTCAGTTGGGTGAGCATTTTTCTGTTCACTCACAGGTCGCCATTTGGTCAGGGCATATGTCTGATTTTCAGGCTTGATCCCCAGTTGGGATGCATGTAGGGATGGGGAGAGGAAAGCTGACTGTTGTTCCTATTTCTCTCCACTTCTCCCCCTCCTCTCAAAAAAAATTAATAAATACATATTTTTTAAAATTACTTTAGAATTCATAATCTATTACAACCAACAACCAATAAAAAATCCTTCGGAATTAAATATATATATATATATCTCCTTATAAAAAATGCCTAATATAACAATATTATTTTATCAATTTCAAAATAAGGCATGCCTACAGCCCCTCCTAAAGAAAACATATTGCAATACCCAGAACCTATACTCTCTCTGACCACAGTTTATCAATGATTCTCTAATGCAAAGGCAGCATTTATTTCCAGAGAGCTATGAGCTAGAATGCAAATTTTGCCCAAACAAAAATAGTAACAATAAAACAAAAATAAGGTAACACTTGAGCCAATCTGAATTTCTAGGTATTTTTCCCTTTTCTTTATCTCTACTTAAACTGGAAAATTCAGAACATACAAAAAAATAGGAAACAGAGAAGTTATTATACTGACTCGGAAACATAAGGTATTTTAGTAAACTAAAGATAGGTGGAAGCATAAATTGTAAGAAGAATAAAAGACTTCCATTAAAAAAATAAATATATCTATTTACAGATGATGTGTCATTAAAAATAGAAAAATCCCAAGAAATCCACTAAAAAACTATTAAAACTAATGAAAACAAGTTCAGCAAGGTGCAGGATACAAGATCAACATACAAGAATCTATTGGAGTTCTATATACTAGAAATTAACATGCCAAACTTAAAATATAAAACTACAATAAATTCCTTTATGATAGCATAAAAGCAATTCAAATATCCATTAGCTGATGACAATATACACAAACTGTAGTATATCTAGTTAATGGAACATTACTCAGCAATCAAAAAGAACAAAGTACTGACATATGCTAGAATATGGATGAGCCTCAAGGATATTGTGCAAAACAAAAAGAAGCCAGACACCAAAGTCCACATATTACCTGATTTTATTTAAAAGAGATGTTCAGAATAGGCCAATCTATAGAAAACAAAACTGGTTTATGCTTGCCAAGGGCAGGAAGAGGGTGAAATGAGGAGTTACTCTAGTTGGCACAAGCTTTCTTTTTTTTTTTTTTGGTTGGGGGATACAATTAGATTATGGTGATAATTGTATAACTGTAAATATTGAACACCCATTGAATTGCACACTTAAAATGAATGAACTTTTTGACATGCAAATTACATATTAATAAAGCTGTTAAGGAATACATAGCTATCCAAACATGATAGAAATTAATTTATCATTTAATAAAGTCCAAAATAGGGTACTTTTTTTTTTTTTTTGAGGAAAAGAAAATGTGAGAAGTATGAGGTGCTAAAAAATAATCCAGTGGAAAAGAAGACTAGAATAAAACAGACATTCACGAATTAGCATAATCCTACAAGTCAAGGAGCACTGGAGTGAAGACCCACAGCTCCAGAAGCTTCCAGAATTGCCTAGAACTGAGAAAGGCCTTCCAACTGTACTTTTCATAATGGCCAGTTCTATCGAGGCACCTCGTCTTCCTGAGGTTCAGCTGTTCCCTGTTTCCTAGGTTCAGGTGAATCTAGGAATCTTCCTAATCACATAAGGCCTACCCAAATGTCTCCACTGTAGACCCTACAGCAATGATACAGCATATTTTCTTCAATCTTCAAACACTCTAAGTAAAAAGAATGAATATCAGCAGTTTACTTTGACGCAGAGCAGAGAACTGGGCAGTAATTTGATTATTCACAAATCTTAGTTTGGCCATTGAGCAATATGACCTTCACACTCCTTCACCCTGAGTAATTTCATGCTTTACCACCATGTTAGCCATTGGAATTAACATTACAAACAAACAAATGTTTTTGCTGTTAAAATGCCAATCATCTCCAATTTTCCCGTCCCTGAAAGAAATCCACCTAGATTTCTAAATCACTCTAACAAGCAATTCCAGAAGTCTCAAGGTAGAAAGAAGATTTTCACTACATACTCTGGTTTTTCAATCCCAGCTGTTTATTATTATTATTATTATTATTATTATTATTATTTTATTGATGAGAGAAAGAGATAAATGTTTGTTGTTCCACCTCTTTATGCATTCATTGGTTGATTCTTATATGTGCCCTGACCAGGGATTGAACCTGCAATCTTGGTGTATCAGGATGATGCTCTAGCCAACTGAGCTACCTGGCCAGGGCCTCAATGCCAATTTTAAACAAAAGTTTGTTTTGCAAACTTTTGCAAAACCCTAATGAGCCCTCCTCTACCCTTTTCTGCACATATCACCTGACTGTTTCTGATATACCAGCTGGAAGTGTAGAAAAAGATGTGTGAGAAGAAGGAGTGACAACAGCAAGAACATGACCTGCATGAGGAGGAACCAGGGAGGAGAGCCCTGGGTCTGGTCCCCAGTTAGAAAAGCTAATCCATGTGTTGCTTACCCTCACCCCAGCTCTTTTCAGCAGTGTTTAAACTGCACAGTGGAACACTCTGACCTGAGCTGAAATAGAATATAGATATAATGATCAAGCTACATGAGCTAAAAATTGGAGCACATGCTCTGACTATTACTTATGTGCTTATAGAGACAATTGCATCAGTCCTTGAAATCAGGATCATCCTAGAAAATCTAGGACATATAGTTGCCATAGTTATAGCAAACCAATTAAAATCACTGGCAAGTGCTCCTTACGTAGTGCAACAGTCAATATAAAGACTTTCTGCAAATATGGACTAAGACATTGGACAAGCTGCAACAGGACATCAGCCTTAGAGCTTTCCCACCAATTAAGAATCATACAAAAACAATGAGGCCCTAAAACTGTAGTGTT